TCAAGATTATCATCTAAATCCTTAGACATATCAATCTTAAAGCTAAAGAACCTCTCTAAAAGGAAAAGTTTGTTAGGCAGACTCTTAGACATGTATTGCTCTTCTAGCTTATCCCACAAAGCCTTAGCACTATCAAGTTTACCAACTTTTCTCAACACTTGATCAGACAAATGAAGAATTATAGAGGTATAAGCAAGTTCATCAGATTCAAGTCTTTGATCATCAGTCATAGTAGCAGGAAATTCACCAGTTATAGCCTTAGAGACTTTCTGTTGAACTAAGACCCCTCTCATTTTTTGCTGCCAAATGGGAAAATCCCCTTTTCCATTAAAAACTCCAAGTTCAAATGTTGCCATTGTCATTTGAAGTTTTTAATCAACACAAAGAATTTTGAGGTCACAGTCCCACAGAAAAACAGTAATCAGATATTTCAATCAACAATTTAATATCACACAAGTCTCAGTGTAATCAAAAAACAGGAGTGAGGAAATATCAGACTGTAAATGACTATCAACCTAGTGAGCAGTATATAACAGTGATAATAGACTATTTAATAAACTCAAAGGATCACAAAGATGGGCAGTGAGAATTAAACAAGTCTGAAAATCACAAAAAATTGAATTCACAAAGAATAAAGCTACTGAGAACACACAGACTAATAATCAGACAACAATTCTACTAATTCCAGGTGTTAGAATTCACCAGGATTCCGTGAGGTTCGAGACCCCAGGTCAAGGCTCAATTCTAAACACCAGAAGCGACACACAACTCAGGGGAAAACAGGGGAAGTGACAATATTCAATATGCAGTAATAGCACAATCAAGAAACACGGAGTGCAGGGTGTTAGAGAAGATTTCACCAGGCTAGTTGGAACAACCAGCACCAAACTGGGGAAAAATTTTGGAGACTCTGCAGGACACCAACCAGTAGTCCAATCATCCAATGTTGTTCACCAAGAACAAATTCCTCACAAGAAACACAAACAGAGGAAGTATTAGTAGCTAATTCTAATCAATATGAAAAATTAGGGTTCAAGCACAAAATCGAGAAAAATAAGTGTCGAAACAGAAAACTTAATTTTCAGTGACACATCTTCGATCGAAGGCTCCTTTCACCCTCACCAGTGCTCTGATACCACTTGTAAGGGAATCGCCCTCATTAACACGCGGAAGCAGACAAACATATTCAACAAGAACAACAAGAACAATCTACACAAAGTAAATCTATTATTGATTGGGGCTCAGAATTCACCAAGAACACATTGTACCCGTCTGTTCACAAAGAACAAGCCAACAAAAGACCCAGCCCTAATCAGGATCGCACGAAGCAGTCACTTCAATGAACCAAAGACTCTACTGCCTAACTACACACTCTCAAGGATCAATCGAAGAATCACAAAGATACAACACCACCAAGGCAAAGGATTGATCAAAGAGTTTAATCGATTACACGAAGAATCGAAAGAGGCAGAAGAGGAGAAAACGAACGAAACAGAATACCCAGAGGAATTTCTCTCACTAAGCCAAACAGAATGAAATCACGCACAAAGAATGACCGTCCAGCTTCCCTTAATAATCCACCATCACACCATAGATTTAGGCAATAGATCTAGGGTCCAGAATGACACACTTGGCAGTCCCTTTTGGGCCGGGTTTTGGGCTACATTCAGTTTGAGTTATTGGGCAATGTTTTTACTAAAATCATTTTCATCTTGGGCCAAGCCCATATTTCATCATTGCCCCTTTAGTTAGGAAAACCAATTGTCACAAATGGCATCAAATCCTAACAAGTTTAACTTGCTATAAATGAATCTAGTATTAAACATGCTCCATATGTCACATCAGATTTAAGGTTCACGTCAAAGGATGAACGTATGAACTTTCATAAATAAGTGACGACATGACTTAATTATACATTTTAGTATTCTAATACCATGTTGAATCATTCGTTTAAAAATTTCCTAAATTCATTTTTAACCATATTTTCTTCAAATAAAATAATTTTTTTCCTTCTTTTTTTATTACAAGTTTTTTTAAGAAATTATTTTCTGCAAAATTTATCCTAAAAAAATCTACATTAAATAGACCCTAAATTCACACATGCATACATAAAATATGAACTTACATCTGCCAAAATGATGCATAGTTCGATCAACAACATTTCTACAATCCTCCACCTTTGAAACATCTGCACGAACCACCAAAACATCCGGGGCACCGAGACCCCATGCCCTTTCGGCTACTTCCTGCAGGCTTCTTTCCCTCCTCGCCACAAGAACTAAACAGGCTCCTCTTTTAGCATACTCATTTGGAAGATGCTGCATGAAATGTGATTCCATCACCTTGTATGCATTCATTCGTGTAGAAGTAGAACCTTAAACTTCACTAATAAACAAATTACACTCTTGGTCCCTAATCTATTGGAAAAATGTTACTTAGCTCCAGTGGTGCTTGAACAATGGTCTATGTGGCATTATGTAATAGGTTGTTAAAGGTAAAACTATCGGATTCGTTTAATTGAACCTATAATTAAGTGTTATTACTATTGTCACCTAAACTGGTGTTATACATCAGTGATGTTAAATAGCATTATTCAATCTATTATCACACTAAGGCCTTGGGGTCCAAAAATTAGAAGTGAAACCCGTGACTATTGAATAAATATATAAATTTTCAATCTTTAGATACTACTGCTGCGCTACCAATTCCCAAGAAAAGAAAAATGTTCCATGGAAATTTCCGCCCTTTTTGGGAAATTAGGCCACACACGGTTTGAGGCGAAACTTGGAAAATTCCATTTTTATTTTTTTTTTCCATTTTTTATTGTAAAGTATCCAGAAAATTACATTGATTTTAGCTTCAGTATTTTAATCATTTTCAGAAAAAAAGTTACAATACTTATAACTTCTCAAGGATTATTGTAGGTTGCTGAAAAGTAACAATGTTTGTAACTGGCTGAAAATTACAGTGGCGTATTTTCAATAAAATGTTAAAAAAATCGCATTTTACAGTTTTAACACCTAATTAGTAATTTTTGTTATTTCCCCATTTTTTTAAATACTAGTTTTAGGCCGTGCAATGCACGGGTGTTGTTATTTTTAAAATTATGTTAGCGCTGCATATTATATATTCAATGAAGTTAGCTAAATGAACTTTATTTAACAAAATGTATTTACATAATATAGTTAAACACAAACTTTAAATAAAGAAAAAAAAGGAACAAATACTAAAATATTTGACTCCTCAAGACATTATAATTTATAAATGAAAACCAAAGGATATATATATATATATATATATATTGAACAAACGAATATTTATAGTTTTTCTGTATTATATTCAGGAACATCGATCAGAGGACTTAATCTTG